ATATATATATATATATATATATATATACCAAACGGTACATCTTGACGTACAACTCAGTACACCTGTACCGAGCGAAGCTCAATACGTCGGTACGGTATGAAGAAGAAGCCTTCGACAAAGATCACAGCGAAGAAGAAGCCGAGCCGCCACCTCTATTACCTCCTAGATTGGGATCGTCGAGGGAGGGCAGCGATAGTCGAAATTGACCATTACCGGCCTATTTTTCGACCGTTACCGCCTAACAGAGCTCCATAGCAGATTAATGGTACCGCCTGGTAGCGAGCAGTCCACGTACCGGTCTACTGGCGGACCAGTACATACCGCTCAGTATGGGCGATATCATTCAATATTGTAATCCTTGATTGCTTCTAGGATTGGATTATGTTTTAGTTAACTTCTTATTTCAACTTTTCATGCTTATCAACAGATTCAATCAGAAAATACATTGAGTGTGGAGCCTCAGCTGTTGTACTTTCAGATGCTATATTTGAGAAAGAAGCCATGAGACACAGAAATTTCGACGAAATACATAGGCTAGCTCATCTTGCCACTCTTCAAGTTGGCCAGGCTGGAAAATGTTAAGCAAGTAAAAAGCTATGGTCGATAGCATTGAGATTTACGAGAATTGGCTTAACGCGTCACTCTTCTATTTTACATGTTTTTGGAAGGGCATCATGGTTTATTTCTCTTGGGATCTTCGTCACACTTAGTGTTTGACCCAAAACAACTTGTTTCAGGTAAACAACTCCTCTCGTCATTTTTGTTACTCTTCCTTTATATTTCAGCCCATTCCATCTGTTCAACTTCTCTTCTCTTTATGACAGGATCAGTCAGGTGGTTTCGATCTCCCTTCTACGTCGATGCATGACTCCACAGTTCTCGGAAGGTGATGCTGCTTAAATCGTAAATCATTTTCCAAGCAGACCAGCAATTTGGGCTTGAATGTTCATTCAGATGACCAGCCTTTAGTTCGTGTATTCATATCATCCATTTTGTTGATAAAGAGGACTAAAACCTAATGTAATCTCTTGTTTCATAGAAGAAAATACATCTTTTGATATGATTGATCAAATCATGTATAAGAATGTGGGAATTCAAAGCACATTGGAAGCTCTATATTCTTGTAGTAATACTTGATGGTCTCTCTGTGCATGTTTGTGTTCTTGTAGTAATGCTTATTGGTCGCTATAGGTGAACACAACACAATCTATATGCTCGTTTTAGACCGTGCTGGTAGACCGGCTTAAAGAGTGAACCGACCAATTCTTGAACCGATTGGTCAATTAAACCACGCTGGTCGAACCGGTGCTGTCCTGATTCCAATCTCATTCGGCCGGGCCGAATCGTCGCCACGGAATAGTTAACTCCAACCGACGCCGGCTCGAAGAAACCCCAGCGAACCCTCGGCTCTCCTTTCCTTGAAATCCTTGATTCAATCAATCGTTTTCGTGTCAGCTCGCGTCTCAATCGAGTTTTAGGGAGGCGAGAGAGAGCTCGTTGGATTTCAAAGGTCTCGATCTTGCTTTCTCCGTCGCTCGATCGGGCCATGGCGACACCGAGCGAGCAATCCATCCTGGATTGAACCGTGGGCTAAGGTATTTGATTCCTCCAAACGGATTGTGGGTCGGTCGGAAGCATTTGACGCTTTTCTTGGAATGTCAGAAGATTAGGGTTGCGATCAATTTCTGCTCGTCATTCGGGAGGCGTTGATTTCTTGTTTGGTTGAAGCGATCGCCGAATTTGGTTTGGGGAGAAAGAGAGTCGAGCTGAGCGATGGATCAGAGGAGGGCCCTGTTTCGCTCGAAAGTGAGAGAGGCACAAAAGCGTGAGAAGCGCATCGATTCTCCCCTCGTGAGGTACTCAAGAATCCTCGCATTTACTTCCGCGATCGTCAAAGCTTTCTCCGTTTGTCAAGGTCACTTGCTGTGTTGATTGTTGTTCCTCTGTTAGTAAATATAGTTTCTCTTCTATCTCTTGTTCTAAGATCTTCGAGGTTGTTTTCCTATTAATTTTATTGCTTTATTGTTTTTGCTGAATATAGGCTTACAGTTGCCTATCTCCATATATGTTGTGAGCTTATACAATAATTCAGATATTTTGCCTCTAGCCTTCAACTATAATCGGGATAGAGGAGTTAACTCTGGAGATTTACAATTGTACGTTATGATTTGTCGTGCAAAAGGACATACCTAAAAATTTGCTTATGTATGCATGTCAATATTCATCATTCCTTATGCCATGCTAAAAAATCTGTTTTTCTTCACTTCTGTCATATGTTTAGTCATGAAGCATCTTCATCAATTGCTTTCGCCACCCCTTTTCACATAGTTTAGAACCACATGCTCTGGTACCATGATGACTGCATAGTTGCACACGTACTCAGACATGCTACCATGCTGAAACTTCAGTTCTTAGGAAAATGTTGTTAGTTGTTACGAGTCATTATGGAGAGGTCTATGGATTTTAAATGTAGAAGAAGATGCATGGCTCAGGGGTCAATGAGAAAAATACAATAGATGTGCAGGTGCATGTCCATCAAGGCTTCTATAAGGTTTTCTCCTCCGATGCATGTTTATTCTTTTCATGCTAGTGGCAAGGATTTTCTTTTAATTAAAAGATTATAACATATCAAACTTCCTAAATTGTGACACTAGTGAGCTAGACAGACATAATTGCTTTATTATATTATTTGAGTTGGGACGATGATCTTTTGGAAGTTCAATTACATGTATTGCTTTTAGCTGAAATGATGGCAAGTGTTAGAATAAAGGGTTTTTTTTGGTCCTGTAGGTATAATGAGAATGATCAGCCAGTTTGCCGAGTGTGCAACATTGTCTTGAAGTCAGAATCAAATTGGCCTGCACATCAAGTTTCTAGGAAGCATCATGAGGTAATGTTTCCTCGTCACTGTGACTATTCTTCAGTTTTTTAACCATTCTGTGAGTGAGAGATTTTTAATCAAACTTGATGTCTATTATGATTACTGAAAATAGCACATAATGGGTGCCTTCACACTGTTCTTGATGCAGGCTATTGAGAATCTAAAAGCTACAGCTGGTGGATTGCCTCGTGAGAATAATCTAGGCTCTGAACCTCCAAAGGTGTCACAAACTAGATCGTCTTCCACATTGCCTGCAGACTTTTTTGATGGTCAAGGTGCAAAGAGACAAAAGACCGGTAAGATAGCCTTTTCAGCTTGGCCTCTTGATAAGTTTAGATGCTAAGCACATTGTGTATTAGAAGTGTAAGGAACGAGTAATCTTGTGTGGACACAATGAGCCGATGCTGAAAACTATGATCTGTGATCAGCGAAGTCTAGTATGAGGTCTTTTGAATTAGAGTTGAGTCATAATTTGTTAGCAAAGATTTTTCTTTTCTTAGGATTTTTGGGTAAATAATCATCTAAATAATGTTATGCAAATGAGACTATTTCACCATTTTTTTGTCGTGTTCACCACAACCCATTGATTGTCCTCTTTTGAATAATTACCAACAACACAAGTAAGCAACCATCTAAAAGACTTTAAAACTTGTGCACAACACAAACGGAATAGGAACTCATTGAGAACTCTTGTCTCTTCTCAGTGAGAGATAAAGTAGTCCAATCAGATTTAATATGTTGTGTTTTGGAGTAAACTCAACTTCTATGCTTAATCCTACAGAACAATCAAAATAAATATTAGTCAGCAAATCTATATAATTTTAGTGCAATTCTATGCCAAAGATGAGGCAACCATCTGCTATCCCACATAGATTTTGTGATATTTTGTCACCTTCAGGTCCTCAATTGGGATCAGACCAACACGTTCATTTTTAGATCATAATGTGGTTTCATGAATGTTAAATATCAAGGAACTGAAAGAACGTCTTTGCTCTACTTCCAAATTAACTTATATAGTTTCTGTTCACTTGAAGAATGGATCTAAGTTATTGTGTAAATGTTATTATGTAGATCTAAGTTATTGTAGAAGGATGGATCCAAGATAATGGAGTAGATAAAACTTCAATAGGTCTTTGCTCACTTTGCCGAGTCACTCAATTGTTTTCTTTTCATTCTATTCTTGCTGAATCTGCATCAGATGTAGAGTGTGATTAATTACATGTACTGGTTTTCTATAATGCAAATCATATGATTGTTTGCCAGATGAATGCTCTATAACTTCCTGTGCTTCATTCTTGTATTGGTCCTGTTGTTAGTTATTACTTTGTGCTTGCACCTACCAAATTTACAGTATTCAAGTTATCATCTTCATATGTGGTCCTCATATTTATTGTTTAACTCATTTGACTATCTGATTGTCTAGATACGGTTCTGGGAGGGACGACCCAGTCTGTTATCACACCAGCTGGTTCTTCTTTCTCTTATAAACAAGGCAAGAAAGATTTATCTCCCGTTAGTCAGCCCTTGAATGCACCAGAGTCTCTGAACATTAGAAGTGAGAAGGTTGTGGTGAGTGAGGAAACAAGTGTGAGTAAACTGTCTACTAAGCTTGATCAGCCGTCAAAAATGATGGGTGGCACAGATGGTCAGCAAGATATGGGGGTTCTTCCCAATAACTTTTTCGACAACAATGAAAGAACTGATGATCAGCCTTTAAAACAGATAGAAGACAAAAGTAATTTACAACTCAAGAAGGTAAACAAAACTCTGGATAGTTCCAATCAGACCAGTCAAGCATCAAAAAAGATCGATGGATCTGATGCCAAGCAAGTTAAAGGAGCATTACCAGAAGGTTTTTTTGACAATAAGGATGCAGATCTCCGTGCACGTGGGATTGAACCTGTTAAAGTTGATATAAAGTAAGCCTCTTTTACTTGTACTTCTTCCATCATGCTACTATCTTAGTTTCTCCATTGCTCGTTTCAATCTGGTATAAGAAATGATTAAGCTTATTGTAATTACAAAATTTGCCATGTCAGATTGTCTGCTAAACGTACTGTCATTTTTGCAATCATATTTGACATGTTTTCCTTGCAGCTAAGTACTTTAGGATTCAAATTTGTTTGTTGGATTATTGTTGTATCTGTTCGTGTTAAGCAATCAAATCTCGACTGTTACTGAGTACTGTCCCGTCTGGACAGTGATGGTAATGTATGATGCTGACACATTATACAGTTGGCATTTTGACAAGAAAAAGGAAGAGAAAAACAGACAGCAGGGAGAAAAAGTCATCAACGGCAAGAGAAGGACAATTTATTCTTGTCAATGGCTTTGAGAAAGCTAGAGGGTACTTGGCTGCTGGCAACATGGGAAGTTTTTGACCATACCCCACCTTTGGCCTGGTGAAAATGACAGAAGAATCAGGTTGGGGCAGTGACGAGAGAAGCTAGGATTAGGAAAGGCTCTAGTCAACCAGATATGGGAGCAAACTTGCAGTCTGAGGCATGAGGCTTGGGCATTATAGAAGAGAGGACAGAAAGAGAGAGATTGAAAGAGGATAGTCCTTACGGTTTTTAATCCGGTAAAAAGAATGGGCTTTCAGTCAGTTATTGCATTTGTTGGACTATGTATGCCCTCTGCAGACCAAGTAGGCTGTGCCATTCCCTCCAGCCTGGCTCCTCTTGATTACAATTTGACAAATTATTGACCCTAACAATTTGGAAATAGTGTTGATAAACTTGTTTGCACCACACATACATAAAGGTCTTACTTCTAACAAAAAAAACTGCTGTCTGGACTTTCCTTCCATTTTCAACTGTTATTACTATCGTATTCAAGTTTTCTTTTATGTGGATATGGAAGTATAACTGTGGTCAATATTAATGCAGTGATGCATACAAAGAATTCGAGAAGGAAATCCAAGGTAATTTGCAGGAAGTGGATGACCGCCTGGAAGAAGAAGAGGTTTGCAATCTTCTGCTTTGCACTTCTTATTTGTGCTGGTCGGCTGAAAATGATTTTCTTAACAAATAAACAATTGATTTGATTATTTGGGAAGTCACAAATCTCATGTACCTGCTGCAGATTGATGCTGCTGATGAGATGGAGGAGTTTCGTTCTCTGGAGCAAAAGTGAGTTTTTATTTTCTGGCAACTTCATGTTAAATATATATGCCAAAAGACTTACGATTGTTCCTACATTTTCTGTGAACTATCACAGGGCATATAAAGAGAAGGTGGATGAGATAAAGAAGAAGCTTATTGAGGCGAAGGCAGAACGTCTTGCAAGATTACAGCAACCCCCGACGTTTTTGGGCAAGGAGTCTAGTGATGAGTCATCAAGTGACGAGGAGGGTGACGATGATGACACCAGTAACTTTGCAGTGGATTGGAGGGCTCAACATTTGTAGACTGTACAACTATTTTGATCATACAGACCTATTTTGTATGCAAGTATCCTCTCATTTTTAACTTTTGTCCCAATCATTTCTTTCTGATTTGTCTTTTGAAAAACCTGTAGATTTTGTTTTTTTTTTTTAAGAATACTAGATTTGAGTCTAGAATCTTATGATAAATCATCAAGATCTTTCATCAAGGTCTTTACCAACTAATAGTTGATATTTTCATCATTGTCAATTGAATTATTTTTTATATTACTAAATATAAATTAATCGTTTGATAATGATGATTAGATATTTTATCTAGAAATTTTTGTATTGTTATGGTTTTACCAAATGATGTCCCATAGTTTTCACTCATGGGTAATGTTCATCATCTCCTTTTTCTTCTCCTCCTCTTATAAGTTATCGACAAACCTTCATTGAGGAGGCGCAATAGTTATGAGTGGAGACAACGATGATTGAAAACAGAGGAAGAACATCTTTGGATGTCATTCGGTAAAAATATAATATTAAAGATTTTTTTAACTTGAACTATCCATTATGATTAATCAATTAATTAATTAATAAAATTAGAAAACCCAAAAGGAATCTCATATTGCAAGTTCATTCAGTTCTATCAGACGTTTGGAATAGCCATTTTCTAATAACTTGACTAAAAATATTATTGGAAGCTCCATATTCTTGCCGTAATACATATCAGCTCGAGCCCGACCACAGGCCTAATTGGTTCAATCTAGTTCGTTCGACACAATAATTTTAGACCATGTTGTCAGATCGAACCGACTCGACCACTCAAACCCGCCGGGCCGAACCGGATCATCTGTAGCATGGTGGTATCACCTCCGTGCGTTTTCCTAATTCCAATCTGTTTCGGGCAAGCTAGGGCAGTTCGCCGCCTCGTTCCTACATAACACCAAGCCCCCCCACCCCCACCAAGCCGCCGACGACTCGAAGAAACCCTAGCGAGCCCTCGGCCATGGCGGACTACGACCTCACCTCCCGCATCGCTCCCCACCTCGATCGCCACCTCGTCTTCCCGCTCCTCGAGTTCTTGCAGGAGCGGGAGCTCTATGCCGACGATGAGATCCTCAAGGCCAAGATCCAGCTCCTCTCCCAGACTAACATGGTCGACTACGCCATGGACATCCACAAGGCCCTCTACCACACCGAGGATGTGCCCCAAGGTTCACTTTCGTCTCTGGCTTTTTTCTTTTTTCTCTTTTTCCTCCCAATTTTGTGATCTGGACCTCGTGTTCTTGCAGAGATGGTGGGTAGGAGGGTAGAGGTCGTCGCGAGGTTGAAGTCCCTCGAGGAGTTGGCGGCACCGCTTATCTCGTTCCTTCAGAATGCTTCCTTGGTCCAGGAGCTGAGGCCTGACAAACAGTACAACATCCAGATGCTCCATGACCGCTTTCAGGTGTGTTCTTGGGTTCATTAGTGCATAGATCGGTGGCAATTTTGTATGCGAATTTCCATTTGTGTTCGCAATGTGATGTGATGCCACAGTTTCACGACAAAGTTGGTAGGATTGACTGGTTAGGGCACTTGATACATGAAACTATTGGTCAAGAAGAGGGGGAAAAGGTGAGTATTTAGGAGTGGCTGATGTTGATTGTGTTCTGTTGTCGAGCAGATTGGGGCAGATCAGATTGAGGCTCTCTATCAGTATGCAAAGTTCCAGTTTGAATGTGGTAACTACTCTGGTGCTGCGGATTACTTGTATCAATATCGGGCGTTGTGCACTAACAGTGAGAGGAGCCTGAGTGCGCTGTGGGGAAAGCTTGCTGCAGAGATTTTAATGCAGAATTGGGATACTGCACTTGAGGAGCTGAACCGGCTAAAAGAGATTATTGATTCGAAGGTATTCAATTTTTTAATGGATGCATATAATCTACAAGTGTTCTGCTGCTGCCCTAATTTATGTCAATTTTCTGTTTGTTTGGCTTGTGAGCAGAGCTTTGCTTCTCCCTTGAATCAACTGCAAAACAGAATATGGCTGATGCATTGGAGCCTCTTCATCTTCTTTAATCATGAAAATGGCAGAAATGGAATCATTGATCTATTTTTCCAAGACAGGTTTGCCACATAAAACATCTATTTTTCTCTTTGTTTCTGTCACATCTGTTGTGAAATAATACTCGAGCCAATCTTATCTTTCTTTTGATAATTCTCATAGGTGGTGATTCTTTTTCATAAAAGTTGCTAATCAGAAAGTTTGTCTTCTTTGTATGTATTAGTTATCCCCTTATAAGATGGTATAAGTCATTTTATACTGTACCCTTGGTGCATTGTTGTGCCACCACACAGCATGTAGGAGTAATTACATGGGCACCTTGGTATTATATTCTCCTATTGCTCGCAGCCTGTGCTAACTCAAAGTAGACATAGTGTAATTAATTTCCCTACAGGACATTTTTTTCTGCATATGTTTGATGTTAAAACTAGCATATTCTTTTGATGTAGTCTATGTAAGTTGCAGATATTTTTCAACATATTTTGGGTTCTTAATCGACTTCAAAATATGATAGCCGAAAATTTACTGGTAGGTTCTCCATATAATTGATTGATGGTGACCAGGTTTCAGACCCATCTGCCAACACTTCCATGAAGGCTCACAAACACAATAAACATCTAGTCATTTGACAGCTTGAACATACTAGTTGACAATAAACAGCACTTCAACTGAATCCAGTTAGTCCCAGGTGGAGTGATTGATATGCTCAGCCTGCAGGTGTCAACAATTTATAGTTTTAATGCATATTATTATGTCAAACTAGATCTGTAAGACATCACAATCTACACAAGTTCTATGTGATTTGCCCTAATCGACATCACAATCTGTCATTTTCAGTTTTCTAAGACTAATCTTATTTTCTAGTGGATAATCTGCAAATTTGAGCATTTGAATCCACTTTTTCTTCTGTTCAGATACTTGAATGCTATTCAAACAAATGCACATCACCTCCTCCGTTATGTTGCAACTGCTGTCATTGTTAACAAAAGAAGAAGAAATATGCTTAAGGAGTTGGTCAAAGTTATCCAACAGGAGCTGCATAGCTATAAGGATCCCATAACAGAATTTCTGGAATGCTTGTATGTGAATTATGACTTTGATGGTGCACAAACGAAACTCAAGGAGTGTGAACAAGTAAGTTTTTCAAAGTACATTGAGATTTCTTTCTAATTTCTATCATTTTGGTGGTAAGGTTTGATATAATATTTATTTCATATTGTTGCCGAGTTTAGTTTTAATGGCTTTTTATTGAGTGTAGCTACTGGGTTCAAAATGTTCATGTTCTGTTTTATTTATTTATTTATTTATTTATTTATTTATTTTTTCAATGGAGTTTTGGTTAGAGAATCTGGTAGGAATTATTGGACATGTTGAACTATTGACTCAGAGTAAATTATAAATTTTGTCTACCAACGGTTGGATGATTGTGGTGCTTTGAAGATATTTTTAATGACTTCAATCTGCACTCAGACCTACAAGCCTTCTTGACTCTTAGGTTTGTGATTGATAACTAAATAAGGCTTTGTGTGGAAGGTTATTAGATCAAACTGATCTGCAGTTGCTTGCTTTATATCAAAGATTCAGAAGTGGAACAAAATTACACTGAGAAGACTTGGTAGTGGCATGTAGGATATTATTTTTGTATTGTATGAACCAAATGCCATGACTTTAGACTTGTTTAAACCTGTCTAGCCATTTTTATCCAAGAGCGGGACTTGCATGAATGTTAGAAAGCTAATTGACTGCTCATGGCTTGCAAGTACCAGAGGCAATATTCACAAACAGAGTACAATCCTGAGTGAAGGCAGTGCATAACTATTTCTATGTTAGCATCTTTGGAGAAAAATAAGTTAATGGAACTTTAAACTAATGAAATAAAACTAGATTCAATAAGAAAAACCCTCAAGAAGCAGCAAGTTTTGCTATCGTTGCCACTCACAGAAGTAAGAGAGAAGCTGCAACCACTGGCCATGCTAGCGCTGCATTAGCCATAGCTTCTGCAGAATCTGGTGGAACAATAAGCAGCAGCTGCACTACAACTGCTGTGCAGGAAGCAGAAGTTGGTGCAATCACAGCTGCCTTCCATGAGTCTAGTGACATCAAACGTGTAACTGTAATCTTCTACTAGTTACCCAGGCAGCAGCAGTTTAGCATATTTAGAGACATTTTGAAAGCACAAAATAGGCAGATGAAAACAAATCTTTTTTGCTGGGCATCATTGGCTATTAGTAGATCTACCTGTTTGTAGTCATTCACATTTGCAGTTGGCATGAAATTTCCCTCCATTGGGATGAAATTCTCTATATCAGCTTATATGTCGAGTTAATTAGAGCCTTTTGGATTTAGTTGATTTCTTAATTCATCCAACCACATGCAGGGATAAATTTGCCCTTAGTCTTAAACACAAGATGCATGTGCCTGGTTGAAGTGGCTTCACCTTGATATAGAGGTCCTTAGGTTCGCCTTGTTATAGTAGTACCTAGGTAAGCCAGGCATGTGCCGAAGGGAATACCAATGCTGACATGATTATAATCAAGATTGCAAGATTCACATGTAACCATCAGAAGTTTATTCAGTGAGTAGTTCATCTATGATGAACTTATGGGTGGAGTCAATTTTGTTGCTTGGATTTACAAAGTGATAGTGTCATTGAGGATGTTTGTTGCCATGAATGATTAAAAAATCTCTGAAGGATTAATTTCCAGTATGTTGCTTGACTGTTAAATTTTTATATGGTGTTCGATTCTGTTTTCTGTATTTCATTGTTTTTTTTTTGGTTTGCTCTGCAAGGCTTATTTCATTAGAGTTGTATGTGAACTTCTGTTGCATCATGAATGATTTTCCTAGCTATGTTTTATTTTTCTTCCAAGTCAAGTCATAGTCACTTCTCTCATTGAAAATAGTTAAAACTTCTTTATGTAGTTGTCTTAATATATTAGGGTCTTCTTCTGAATCTAATGTTGTGCATGTTTTACTTAGGTAATATTGAATGATCCTTTCCTTGGTAAACGGATTGAAGATTCTAACTTTACCACTGTTCCTCTGAGGGAGGAATTCCTAGAAAATGCCCGTCTCTTCGT